AAAATACATTTATTTTATTTTATGGCCTTGACATTAACCTGTCATATTGTTGAGTTATCAAGGACACTTCCGCGTTTTTGTGTGTGTACAGGAATGTTAAAGATATCATTGAGGAAAACGAGGTTGACGTGACGTGATTGAATCAGGGAATCCGTGTGTCCACCACGGGAGAGGATCCTAATTGACTTTACATTGGCATTGTTTTTGTGGTGGCAGCACGTAATTTCAACCCATTACATGCTGCCACCACGGAATGCGGTGTTAAGAGGTCGTGGTCATTTCACGTATTTCTGTGAGATCAAGTTGTTCCTTTCTCAGCGTCCGAACCATGGTTTGGAGGCACAGGGGAGACTTACTAGGCTGCTCCAGGGCTGAAGTGGCCGCTCGTCTTCGGGGTTAACTCCCTACACTTTATGTTCAACAGGTGGCAAGCAAGGCACAGGGAAGACATCTTGGAGGTTGAGGAGTTGTAGCATTTATTGCAAATACACCACACTTCAAGTACACTGCACTGAATTTCTGTAAACATTAGCTACTGCTAACTTTACTCCTTTCTCTGTTTCTCTCTGTCCGGTCGCCAGCTTCACTCACGCTCTCTTTTCCAGACACACACACACTCTCAAGACACACCCCCACTACGCACACACCTTGCGCACTGAGCTATTCCCTGCTGATTTACGTCACTTCTATAACAAAAGTGATTACAACCCAATGGTGAAACAAGTCATTTTACGGGGTTGTGATGCTCAAAACAAATGTATCATTGATTTACAGACATCTCTTTCGCAATGTAAGGCAATGGGAAAAGTCTCTTTGGGCTGCAGGGTGTCACATGACGGAGTAATTATTTGGTGTCTACACAAATTTGATTCAGAGTTCAGAACACTTCCTGAAAGAAAGATGGTCTGGCTGGTGGGCAGTACTTGGTGCTTCAATCAACTGTTACCAATATGGTGAAAGGTCATAAACTCTCATTTTAAAGCTAAATGGTCACTATAATAAAACATTTGAGGTGAGAAATAGACAATGCAGTAAAAAATCTTGATTCATATTTGATCAACACTGCCTAGTTTGACAGTTTGACTGCAGTTCATGGGCAGTAACTGACATGAATAACAGCTGTGTTAGAGACTCCTCTTCGTCTGATTGGTTATTTTCAGTGCACCACAGTAGTTTCTAGCAAATGCCATTAGAGGCAGCAGCAAGGGAAGGGACTTTTCAGCAAATATGACACAAAGTAATTTTCTTAACCCTTAGATGCATAAGGGGGGTCAAAAATGACCCCAGGGGTTGTTTTTCTTCAATATATATTGAATTAAAAGTTTTTATCATTTCATATTCCAGGTATTCCTCATAAGACATGTTTTTGACATGAGGCCATTTGCATTTTAAAAAAGAATTATATACATTTTAAGAAATTGTTGTTTTTGTATCACTACCCCACTCTTCCATAAGTGGGGTCAAAAATGACCCCAAGCATTTCCTATGGAATATCAAGGGTTAGACCTAGGAATCTTTGATTCCTATCAACTATGACTGTCAGGTATACATTTACTGTCGCACTTACACATCTAATGCCAGCAATCTCACCACCCAGGAAGATTTTTAAACTGCAATATACTTGTTAGTATTAAATTTATTTTATATCTTGGAATACATATGGCGTTATAAAATATGAACTTATTTTCTACATCCATGACTTTTGTGTGATAAAGTATAGTATTATTGTCATCAAATTAGCCTACTTTGTAGTTAGCTAACACTAGCTAACTAAGCTAGTGTTAGCTAACTACAATGTAGGTACTAGTTAGCTAACTACTATGTAATGTTAGTACTGTAATGTTAGCTAGCTAACATTACTGCATTTGTTGTGTAGAGATAAGCAGCCTTACTATGATATAGTTATAGCTTCCTTGTAATAAAATATAACCATTAGTGTGTGTGTGTGTGTGTGTGTGGTTAGCTATCTTAGAATGCTAGCTAACTTGTTGTGTAGAGATAAGCAGACTTACTATGATATTTATAGCTTCCTTGTAATAAAATCTAACCCGTTAGGTAGGCTATTATACTATTATTGATTATTCAGCCATGTCATTAGTTGTTAAAATGTTAATAAAAAGTGATAAATGAACATGTCAAACATGAAATCATTCTTTTGTTGACCAAAATATAATACAAATCATCATCTTTAACCAAAATGAAAGAAATTGCTTAAGTTTATCACATAAAACACATTGATTCTAATTACTTATGGAAGAGTGTAGGTATTGGTAGGTCATGCATCTAAGGGTTAAAAGTTAGCAACTGTGGCTTTAAAGTATTTAAGATTCTGTTAATTATTTTCAGAGTCTGCAGCCAAGATTACCATGGTGATGTACTCTGCTGAAAAGAGAGCAGAGCCAGGCTGCAGCCAGAGTTAGCTCAGTGACCCATTAATCTCCATGAGAAAAATGCCTCTGATGAGTGACTGCACATTCACAGATCTTCACACATGCACACACATATGGTAACACTACACGTTTTTATACAAATACCTCTGGTTCTTTACATGAAATGAGATCACAGCATTTCTACAGCACCACAGCACACATAATTAGGTGTAGCAGTGATGTCATTCATAAATATCCTCATATCCACAACAGATCTCAGTGATATCCTGTATCATACACAACAAAACCCATACTGATGAAATAAAGAAGAACAATAAACTTTCAGACTTTACAGAAAGAATGACTGAATTACTCACAGCTCAGTGTGTGCCACAGTCTGTGGCTTGACAACTGAAATGTACTCAGGTGACAGAACTTTCAAATCAATTAAAACAATAAATTTAAAAAAAGCAAGGGATGTTGCAGTGTGCATCTGGTGCTGAGCTGTGTGTGGTGGACATGGAAAAGTAGTTGGTGTGGCCATGTAGAGTCAGTGCTGTAGGCTTTAGTGGTTGTGCTTAAACTGTGCCTTTGAAGAGCAGTCAGCAAATGTTTGACACCAGCAGGTGAAATGATGTACATGATGACATTGTAGAGCATTTTACAGCATTGCAAAGACAGAAAGTAACCCCACACACAATGTCTGTTCATGATTTTATCATTAGCTTCATGTCAGAAAGGACACTGAATCCAAAATTCCCACAAAGTTTGCAGGCCTTTAAATTGAAGTTTTACTGAGAACAAAGAGAGACAAACTACCACTGCTATCAGATATTTCAGAAATATGAAATTTGACACAAATATACAGTAGAGCGTAGCTGCGTAGCTGTCACCTGACTGCAGTGTCAACAGTATGGCCACAGTAAGCTGGCAACATGCAGAAACCATGCAAATAATGTTTTTGTATTGTGTTTAACAATTTTCAAATTATTTTACACATCATCAGCAGGGGCGTAATGATCCATCAATCTGGATGGATATATTGATTCAGTGATCAACAATCCAACACAGTCGATGCAAAGTGAAAACATCTATCCACATCATCATATTTAGGATATGACACCACTGCCACTGCTGTTTGATTTCAGGTTATTTTGTTTAGTTCTTCTGTTTTGGTCGTTTAGTTTGGAGTCAAATACTGCTGCTTTGTGCTTTGTTTTGTCTAATTAATTTTAAGGTGTATTAAGTAGCCTTTAGTTTTAATATTTTCTGTTTGTATTCATTCATTTTGTTAATATTGTTGAGCCCTTTGTGGTGGTGGTTTACCCCAAGAGGTTAGCAGAGTAATGTTGCAAGTGTGTGTGAGTAGTGGAGCAACACAGTGCTAATGTTGTGAGCTAACACATGTTTCTTTCTTTGCAGCCTGCTATAGGACCACGGCGTGGCCACCTAGACAGTGGAAAGTTTTGGTGATAGACGTCCTCACCTGTCTTCTCACCCCCATGACAATGTGTCTGACCAGCATATTGCCATATTAGTTTTCCCTTTTTGCTTCTTTTTTCTTTGCAGTTAGTGTGTGTGTAGGGCACAGGAGCTGGGTGAGTGCCCTATACCAGCATAAAGTCTCTCCTTACACTGCATGCATCCACAGCCAGCCATCCGTTAGTACTCTCCCTTTTCTTATTGATTTTGGTTTCTATAGTATCTATTTTTAAATACTCTGTATTTTTTTAATCAGACTTAATAAATTGACTGGTTTAGTGGCCGCACATGTAATTTGCTAAGCTATGAGTAAAGGTAAAGTCTGCTGGTTGCTAAGCTAATTTGTTCAATATGAAAGTGCTTAAGCTAATAATGAGTGACTTACAAAAACAATTGTTTCATCTGTGAACCTTGACAGCTATTAATGAGCTGAATTTGATACTTTTGTTAAATGATGTTGTTATTTAATGGCTGCTGGAAGAAGTTTGCCTTTCACACTTTAAGTCAGATAACCCTGACGTTTTATGAAAAAAGGTAATGGTTTGAGTTGAAATGAAAAGATTTCCCCCATAAAGAGCTTTCTGTCAGAGAGCCCTGAAGGTTAATTTATCCCATGTACTGTTTTATGTGTGTTACAGGAGTACAATTATTTATGTATTGCTTTTATCTTTTATAGCCAAAAGTAAAACAGAAAGGGGTGGCAGCTTCTTCTATAACTGACTGTTAAATGGACAGTGATACTATCTCATATCTATCACAGGCCCCTGAATCACATCAAAACGAAATCATACTGTGGCAGATTTAGTGATATTGGCCAATAATTTATCATTGTCCAAAGAATAGATATAATATTGCATCATGATGAAAATAGTGATTAATACTCCTAATCATCAGTATGCTGTATATTTTGTTATTAAAGATGTGATGTGCTAAATGAAACAGATGAACAAGTTACTAGCCCTCATGTTGCCAAGACATCCTCTAAATACATGACAACTTCTCATTAAACATTCACAAGAGCAGAAATCTGAAGTGGAGAACAGAATGAAGCACAAACCTTTGTAGTAGAAAAGACACCTGTCAGTGAGGACAAACCACCTCTTGTTCCATTGCTTCACTCCACTGCTGGCCTGCAGGAACACGTCATAACAATAAACAATAAAACTACAATACGACATTTCTAAACAAAAACAGCTACCAACACCAACAGCTGTTCTATCACAAACCTTAACCAGTATACAAGTGCAGGTCCATTTACCATTTACCGTCTGTATTTCAGCTGATACATGACTAATGGTATTCTTCTTTAATATGAATAATACTTTTTACCTGCTTACATAGCCATCCCTGTTTGTTGACTTCTGCTTTGGGGTTCCTGCGCATAGAGTTGGACCGCTTGCCAAACGTAGCTGCCGTTCTCGAAGTACCTCTGACAGTATGGGATGGCTGCAGGTCAGAAGTAAAAAGAAGAAAGATAGACATAGATAGATAGATAGATAGATAGACAGACAGACAGATAATTGTGATTGTGTATTTATTAAATAACATTTATCAAATTCCAAGCAAGTAACACTGTAATGACTTATAGAGGACTGATAGAGATTCAAGTCTTTGTTTTCATTTCTGTTTGTTTTCATTTTTTTTCCCGCGTTAAAGGGTTTTTTTAGGTAGTTTTTCCTTATCCACTGCAAGGGTCCTAAGGACAGAGGGATGTTGTATGCTGTAAAGCCCTCTGAGGCAAATTGGGATTTGTGATATTGGGCTTTATAAATAAAATTGACTGACTGAAATTGCTAGTGCATGCAGAGATTTTAAGTTAACTTACGTAATTGATGACATGTGTTGTGTTGTCTTTCTACTGAGGTAAACAGCTGATCAATTCATTATCCAGATCGCGAGCACCTGGGCCCATGGTGCTGTGACGCATATAAACAGTGCTGACGCCGCACTCTCTCTCCCTGGACTCTTCGCCAGTGCCTGTACTTTTGTTTGGCTTTTCTATTTCTTTTAGGTTCTCTCCACAACACCACACCCCGCATGCTCCACACATCCACATGTACACTGCTGATCACACTGACTAACACACCCCATACCTGCATTATGTTTATTTACGTTGCTTTACTTAAATAAATATTTGTATTTGAGTTCACGCTGTGTCTCTCCGTTTTTGTCATTGCCTTTGAGCCAGGTTATGACAAGGTAAAAGAAACATGCTAGGTCAAGGGGGAGCCAGGACGACAGGTCAAAGTGGTGATGTCATTAACATCCCCACACTCCAAGATTGGGTACCAAGCCCCAAGCCCTTACAAGACAGATTCCCTTACAACAAGGGCAAATGACCTGAAATTGACAAGGTACTCTGTGAAAGTCTACTAGATGATGGGAATGCAGTACTACAAACTGTCCCCACTAGGATCATAACTGAGACAAATCAGCTGATATACACCACAGCAACAGTGTTACTGGGGTTCTTGGCTACAAGATGAACATCATGAGCTACAAAGCGCGTTACCCTCCATGGAAAAGGAGGCTGGATGGCAAGATCAAGGCAACACGGAGCAGAAAGGTGTGGGGAAAAAGGGGATACCCAGGAAGTTCAACTCACTGTCTATACCTGAGGCAGTGGAGACTGCCAAACAAAGGCTCACAGCTCTGGCTACCCGCCTACAGAGATACACAAGAGAAGAAGAAGCCAGGAGAATAAACCAATCCATCCAAAGTGTACTCTCAGTGGCAAGGTAACAACATGAGTATACATCTACCTAGGGCTGAAACTGAACAATATTGGAAGAACATATGGGAAGGGGAGGCATCGCATAACACCAATGCTAAGTGGCTCGTGGATCTGAGAGCAGACCACAGCAATCTCCAAGAACAAGAGCCAGTTACATTACATCGGCAGACATCCAAGAAAGAATATCAGGTATGAAGCTGAGCTGGACAACAATGAGTCCTAACATGATCCACTGGCTAAAGAAACTAACTGCACTCCATAAACGCCTGGTAGCACAAATGAACCAGCTGCCAATGGATGGGACTCATCCAGAGTGTGGAGTGTGTAAATCACCCCCTTCTCTCTGAATTTGTATTGTTGCCTTCAGGCCGTCGGTGGAAGGTGCCTGCTCTTAGGACAAAGAGATTTAAGGTTTCCTTTGTCCCTTCAGTCATTCAATTGTTGAACAGCAGTCTGTAAATTGTTTATGTGCTTATGTCTATTTGCACAGATTATTCAGGCTGCTGGCATCTGCATTTCATGTCTACATATTGCATTTTCATTTGCATTGGCACTTTGCACTTTGATGCTGATTATTTTCCTATTAATCTTCATTTATTTTTATTTTTATTTTTATTTTTATTTTTAAAGCCTCCTAGAAACTGCCCATTATGTCCATGTGTGTTTTTGTCCATCAGTGTTTTGTATATTGTATGTTTTGTGTATTTTCCTGGCTGCAAACCAATTTCCCTGAAAGGGACAAAAAAGATACTAATACTGGCTAACACCTCTGAATCCAGGGTGGGCTTTTTTAGTAGAGGTTTAATTACAGCTACCTTAAAAGACTGTGGTACATAGCCTGTTAATAAGGATATAATGATCATATCTAATATATGAATGTTAACTAAAGGAAAGACCTCCTTAAGTAGCATAGTTGGGATGGGGTCTAAGAGACACGTTGATGATTTAGATGAAGAAATCACTGCGGTCAATTCTTGAAGAGAAATTGGGGAGAAGCAATCTAAATATATATTAGGTTTTACAGCTGTGTTTGAGGTTAGATAGGTACTATCTCAGGACAGGAGGTCATGAATTTTGCCTCTAATAGTTAGCATTTTGTCATTAAAAAAGCTCATAAAATCATTACTGCTAAGGGCTAAAGGAATACAAGGCTCAATACAGCTTTGACTTTCAGTCAGCCTGGCTACAGTGCTGAAAAGAAATCTGGGGTTGTTCTTATTGTCTTCTATTAATGCTGAGTAATAGTTTGCTCTGGCATTGCAGAGGCCCCTCTTATAAGTTTTGAGACTGTCTGTCCAGATTAAACGAGATTCTTCCAGTTTGGTTAATCGCCAATTCCTTTCAAATTTTTGCGATATTTGTTTTAACTTACGGGTTTGAGAGTTATACCAAGGAGCAAACTTTCTTTGCTTTGTTAACTTCATTTTAAGAGGAGCTACAGAGTCGAGTGTTGTTTGCAGCGAGCCTACAGCGCTATCGACAAAATGATCAAAGTCGGTACAGGAAACCTCTGTTACTGAGGGACTTGGTACTGAATTTAACGACGGAGTAATCTTTTCCTTAAATTTTGCAACAGCACTATCTGATAAACATCTAGTATAGTAACTGTTGCTGAGTGGCGTGTAATCGAGTAAAAAGAAATCAAAAGTAATCAAATAATGATCCGATAGCGAGGGATTCTGTGGAAAGACTTTTAGGTTATCAATTTCAATTCCATACATCAGAACTAGATCGAGGGTATGGTTAACCCAATGAGTGGGTTCATGTACACCCTGACTGAAGCCAATGGAGTCTAATAGTGAGATAAACGCGGTAGCCAGGGTGTCATTATCAACGTTGACATGAATGTTAAAATTGCCTACAATAATAACTTTATCTGATTTAAGAACTAAACTGGATAAAAACTCTGAGAATTCAGATACAAATTCAGAATACGGGCCAGGAGCACGGTACACTATAACAAATAAAAGTGGCTGCGAGGTTTTCCAGGTCGGATATAAAAGACTAAGAATGAGGCTTTCAAATGAATTATAATCTAGTTTAGGTTTAGGGCTGATTAACAGACTAGAGTTAAAAATGGCTGCAACTCCCCTCCTTGGCCACTGCCTCGAGGAATGTGGGTATTATTATGACTGGGAGGAGTGGACTCATTAAGACTAACATATTCATCTTGACACAGCCAGGTTTCAGTGAGACTGAGTAAATCAATATGATTATCTGATATTAATTCATTTACTAACACTGCTTTGGACGATAGAGACCTGATGTTTAACAGTCCGCATTTAATTCTCCTGTTTTGTCTTTCTGTCACAGAAGAGGTTTTAATTTTTATGAGGTTGTTATGCACAACTCCTCTTTGTTTAATTTTAGATTTAAATAATTTAGGTGGTCGGGGGACAGACACCGTTTGTATAAAACTATGAAAACTATGGCTGGGTAACTGAACTAGAAGCTCAGAGAGGCGTATAGGACTGCGTCTCCGAGTCCTGGTCTCAACTCTGGGTTGTCAGGGATTTAAATTACTAATAAAGTTTGCCAGGTTCCTAGAAATGAGAGCAGCTCCATCCAAAGTGGGATGAATGCCGTCTCTCCTAATAAGACCAGGTTTTCCCCAGAAAGTTTGCCAATTATTAACGAAACCCACATCGTTTGCCGGACACCACCTGGACAGCCAGCGATTAAATGATGACATGCGGCTAAACATGTCATCACTGGTCAGATTTGGGAGGGGTCCAGAGAAAACTACGGAGTCCGACATCGTTTTTGCATATTCACACACCGGGGCAATATTAATTTTAGTGACCTCCGACTGGCGTAACCGGGTGTCATTGCCGCCGACGTGAATAACAATCTTAATGAATATACATTTAGCTTTAGCCAGCAGTTTTAAATTTGATTCAATGTCGCCCGCTCTGGCCCCAGGGATACATTTGACTATGGCCGCTGGTGTTGCTAATTTCACGTTTCTCAGAATAGAGCTGCCAATAACCAGAGTTTTATCCTCAGCGGGTGTGTCGCTGAGTGGGGAAAAGCAGTTGGAAACGTGAACAGGCTGGTGGTGAGCCGTGGGCTTCGGCTTGGAGCTGTGCTTCTGGCGAACCGTAACCCAACCTCCTGGCTGATCGGGAGTTACCCGAGGACAGTTAGCAGAGGCTAAGGCTATGCTATGTGGCTCAGCACCGGATACAGGGGGCTGGCTAACTACCGCAGCTACTGAATGGTTTTCCATGGTGCGGAGCCGCGCTTCTAATTCACTAAGCCTCGCCTCCAACGCAGCAAATAAGCTACACTTATTACAGTTACCATTGTCGCTAAAGGAGGCAGAGGCATAACTGAACATTCTCCTAAGACTGCAAGACCAGGCAGACCTACCTGTGCACTGCCTGGATTGACTACAAGAAAGCCTACGACTCAATGCCACACACATGGATATTGGAATGCTTGGAAATGGACAATATCAACAGGACACTAAGAGCCTTCATCAAGAACTTAATGGGGTTGTTGAAAATGACTCTGGAGACAAACTCAAAGCCAACTGCACAAGTTACCAACAAGTGCAGCATATACCAAGGTGTTGCAATGTCCCACTACTTTTCTGCATAAGCCTGAACCCCCAGCCTAATCATCACAAAGAGTGGCTATGGATACTGGTTCTGAAGTGGAGCAACCATCAGTCACCTCCTCTACATGGATGACATCAAGCTGTATGCCAGGAGTGAGCGAGACATCGACTCACTGATCCACCTCACCAGGATCTACAGCAATGACATCGGAATGTCATTCGGACTAGATAAGTGTGGTCGGATGGTGTCCAAGACAAAGAAAACAATCAGAACCGAGGGGGTTGAACTACCAGAGGGCAACACTGCAGATGTTCAGGACTGCTACAAATACCTTGGGGTCCCACAGGCAAATCACTGTGGAGGCCAAAAGACAGTCAGCCCCAGCCAAATACCTGCAAAGAGTAAGGCAGGTCCTGAAAAGTCAGCCGAACAGAAAGAACAAGGTCCGAGCCATCAACACGTACGCTGTGCCAGTCATCAGATACCCCAGTGGTATAATAAGCTGGGCAAAGGAGGAGATAGAGGCCACTGATATCAAGACAAGGAAGCTTCTCACAATGCATGGAGGATTTCATCCCAAGTCCAGCACCTTGAGACTGTACACTCATTGTACTGAGGGGGGGCTAGGACTGGTGAGTGTCAGAGCCACTGTCCGGGCCGAAACAACCAAGATCCAGGAAAACATCAGGAAGATGGCCCCCAAAGATGAGCCGCTAAGTGAATACCTCAGGCAGCAGAAACCCAAGAATGCAGAAGAGGAGGATGAACCATCATGGAAGGACAAGCTCCTGCACAATATGTACCATCGACAGATTGAAGAAGTGGCCAACATCAAGAAATCCTACCAGTGGCTGGAAAAGGCTGGACTGAAAGACAGCACAGAAGCACTAATCATGGCAGCACAGAAACAGGCACTTAGAACAAGATCAATAGAAGAATAGGTCTACAACACCAGACAGGACCCCTGGTGCAGGCTGTGCAAAGATGCTCCTGAGACAGCACATAATAGCAGGGTGTGAGATGCAGGCAGGAAGAGTGTACATAGAATGCCCTAACCAAATGGCTGGCATAGTCAGTCCCTCCAGAAAATCGCGATCTTGCGATTGCAATAATTAACGCAAATTCAACTTAAGTCTGCAATATTTGTGGGGGCTTGCAATTTTTCAAAAGTCCCGTGATTACTCCGCGTTTTTCCACATTTTCTGGCCAGCCGGAAGTCGTCGCACACGCAACATCATTTGAAACGTCATCAGAACCGTCATCAAATGTACTAATGGCATTGCAGTATGGAGAAACATTAGAATTTGCAAAGTGGAAACTACCACAGTATGTGTTGAATGTATTAAAATGTTATGTTTACAGAAGATGTAGCTTACATGTTGTTTTACAGTCACATTGTCTGGTTTGAGAGCTACAATAGTCACTTAGGATTTTTTGCAACATTATTGGAGTCCATGTTTTGAAACTAATTAAATAAAACTAAAGAAGAGAACAATAAAAAAACATTTGCAGCTATTTTTGTAATATTCAGCATGATTATTATAGCAAGTGATTACATGACTATTTTCTTTGGAGGTAGTAATTTAAAAAAAACAAAATCACATTTTTTTCTCCTTTCCTTTCCTTTTGTCATTTCCTGCAAAAAATCACATAAAATGCAGCAATTTTTATCGCAATTTTTGACAAAATTGGCTGCAAATTCAAGGGTTTTTTTTCCACTAGAAGTTGCAAGGACAAAATGGAAGACACCCCCTACAGTGGTTGAGAATGAACAAGTTAAGATCCTGTAGGACTTCCAGATCCAGACTGAAAACATGGTGATGGCTAACCAACTGGACATTGTGTTGATCAACAAACAACAGAAGAAGGCAGTGGCGATAGATGTAGCAATCCCTCTCTGAAATTAAATCTGTATTTCCTGGAATAATTTCTGTGATATGTGTGTGTGTGTGTGTGTGTGTGTGTGTGTGTGTGTGTGTGTGTGTGTGTCTGCTCACCCGGGTATAAGGCTGGGCATCTGGGGACAGGTCTGACACCATATTGGCACTTTTGGAGTGAGTGATCTTCTCAGCAGTAGTATTCACCTTCCCATTCATATCCACTTCACAGTGCCTAGACAGAGGAGCAAAGTCATAAGCTTCTTTTGTGCATCAGTGCATTTGTTCTTCTACCCCCTTTTTCGTAGTCTGCCAGCAGAAGTGTGTGATTGCCAGAGTACTGACTGTGCAAAATAATAAATGTAACAAATCTGATCTGAAGTGATTTGTCAGGGTCTCATCTGCTCCAGTTGGACACATTGCAGAGTTGTCTCTGGAAAGCTCATTCACCAGACAAACGAGCAATGTTTACATTTGTCTGACAAGGACCTCTGGTGGTCATGTGAGTAACGACTCCTGGCTGCCAGACAGGGATGTTGTTACAGTTTGCCACCTTGACACCAGAGACTGCTCTTCACATCCCACCACAACACTCAGTGTTGGTTTAACCATAACCAAGGCTGTGACTTGTATTATGCAGTAGTGGAATGTAAAGAAGCATATTAACTCAAATACTGAACATATGTACAATTTATTTGTTCTATTCTTAAGTAGCCTATTTCTTTTATACTACATACTTGTACTGAACTACTTTAATTTTTCAACATTAGTTACTTTGCAGATTCCAATTATTAATACAAAAAGTAAACTAATGAATTATGTTGTCATATTATGGATTAAGGTACCCAGAAGTATAAGAGGTATAATTGGCTTCACCTTTACCAGCTGCATCATTAGCGATACTCGCACATTAATGCATCACTAATTATGATGCAGTGATAAATTAGTCTAAAATGGGCCATTATGCAGAATGAGTACTTTTACTTTTGGTACCTTAAATATATTTTGATGCTACTACTTTATGTACTTTTACGTTTTCAATACGGGACTTTTACTTGTAACACAGTATTTTTATATAGTTGTAACGCTAATTTAAATAATTAAAAATCAGAGTAGCTTCTTCCATCACTGGTATCATAGTACAATAACAGCTGTTATAAAGAAAACTGAAACTCTATGCTGCGTTCACACTACAAGCAACACAACAACAGACTACAATTCATTTTCAGTGGAAGCCGGTGACATTGGAGCTACAAACTGATGCCTGACGCTTGCCACTGCAGACAGTTGTGCTACAAATGAAAGTTGAGCTGACCTCATCTTTTTTCAGTGCTCCAATGATGCGGTGAAGCATCAACCAATCATATGGTTTGTTTTTAGCTGTGATACTGTTATTTAGCTTACTTACCTGTCACTATGATAGCCTTCTGTGTATTGTAATGCATGATGATGCAATGGGGAACTATGATGTTAAAATGGAGCATAGATTCTGATCATAAGCGGATAGCAGCAGACACAGAAGGAGACTTCTGCAATATGTAGACATGAAAGTCCACTGACAAAGTGCAGATATGTGACGACTTGGGATGAGAATGCGTTAGGCTGCTGCTGCAGGAGTATGAGACCAGTGCCCGGAACAGTTGGTGAGAGTCCACCCACACGCATAAAGTGACAGCACTAACTGTTATTATGACACGGCTAATGTTACCACAGTTGTTAAGAAGTCAAATCTTCTTGATTTAAGTGTGAGTTTGTTTGGATCGTTTAACAGCTGCTGCTGTGTTAGCTTGTGCTACTCAGGCAGATGTTGAATTGACTGCTGCCCTGGGAGGACAGTGGCTCTGGGGACAGTCCTTCAGTGCTGTATCTCACCTGTGGAACAGCAGCAACAGAGAGTTTGAGTTGGATAAGTAAGGATGTCAGCTGAGTAGGCAGTCCTTTAATGTGGCCCAGGAGATGTGAGCTGAAACAATACAAGCATATGCAGCCCAGACCCCCTCCAAATGTAGTCTAAATGATTAGATCTCAACACATATTAAAGACTCAATGGGTGTATTTACAGCCATGCTGAGATCTGTTCACTTGGGATGCGATCACCCAAGATGCATGTTAATACCAGGTGTCGACAGGGCATTTCTGTTTTTTGGAGGGGGTTTGATGAATGGTCAGGTTAATTGGTTTAATAAAGGCTAAGTGAGCATGGGCTGGAACTAGGTCCAGTGCATGGCACCCATATATGTGAAGTAACATACCAATGGTTCAATGTGTTTTCTTTGTTCTGTTTTCAGCCCTGTGGGAAATGTAAAATGAGTCACAGTAGTTAACACCCAAATGGAATTCACCAAGGGAAAGATCACATGAAATAAAGTTCATAAATTGGAACAGTAATGTACATCCATATGAAACTGAAATAGGGTGCCACTGATACCAGTTAACAGCTGCTACAGCTGCCATGTTCATATGGGTCTAGCATTGGTTAGTAACAGATGATTGGTGAACTTCACTCCATTTTGAACTTCAAAAACAACAATTTCACAATGAATGCATAAGGGCTGCAATGGAGTCACCATGGACCACTGTCACCCTCCTTTCAGCACCCATTTTAAACAACTAGGTTGTTCACACTGGATGTGCCACACGCCACAGCTAATTAACAATCTGCAGCAACTGTCTGGTCAATTTATTCTACAAACCTTGACTTAATCTGACTAGAAAACTTCTAAACAAGACAAAATTGAAAACAGATTTAGGGGCTGTACACATGCTGCTTTTTTTTGCATCCTCACATTAATTGCTTTCAGTGTAGACGTATGGCAGGTGCACTCAAATGCCAGCACTTATTTTTCAGGATGCACTAGTCTGCCAGCAGAAGTGTGTGAGATAAAGAGTGTTCAACTTTTGGAATGCTGCAACATGCCTTGCATGTTACATGACAGGTAGCAACCAATTACAGCCGGCAGGTATATTTTCCTTCTTACTTAAATATCAGTCTGTGGTAAATATGGAGAAGTTGATCATTTTAGTGCAGGGCTACCCAGAGATTTACATCTGCCCAATACACACTTAAAAACAGCACCTGAAAGAAGATCAGCTCTGCACTCAGGATTTCGGGTAAGTGGGCTATGATACTGTGCTTGTTGTTAGCAACTTCAGACGCAACCTGTCTCCACGCTGTTGAAAGCTTGCAAAGATTAAGCACAAGAGTTGCACACAGCGCCAAACCTCGCGTTTTCCAGGAAGTTAAAGACACAGCATATGTACAGCCCCATAGGCAGTCCTGTATGAATATACACGCACTACCTTTAACAGCAAGCAACACACCTGTGTACAGTATCTACTATATCCTTACCAGCTGATAGTTGAATTGTTACTGTTAGTGATGACCTACTTTCTTTTTGTGTTAACAAACAGGAAATGTATTTTGATTACAGAATACTGAATAGGTCTAGGATTTGTAGATTTTTGTTAGTGCAGGTAGGTATGAATAAATGTAGCTGAGGATACATAGTACTGCTTTGTTTTTAGTTTACTCACTGTAGATAGGAGTGTATTGTTGTAGGCTCTTCCAGCTGGATCGGGCTCACTGCTGGTCCAGCTGGTCCACTGGGGTCATGTTGACTGGAAACAGACACAGTGGACATAGATCAACATACTATGTTACAGATGACATTACAGGATTTAGATCAAATTTCTTTGTTCAGCTGGGTTATCAAAAAGGTTAAATATAATTACAGTTAATTACACCTTGAGTCTTAAACTCACAGTTTTTCAGTTATGATACAGTGGGATTTTTTTTCACCCCAAATGTCAGCAATTAACTTGGTGAAAACAAAATTTCTATTACTGATATGAATGATGGACAAAACTGACAAAAAAGGCACAGTAAACCAGAATGATCTCTTAAGAGTGTGCCAAAAAGGCACATTTTCAATTATTAAACTGTTTGAATGCTAAATGGGAGTGTAACTGCTTTCAGATTTGCATGTGAGGACAACTGTGTGTGAATTTTTGATGGGTATGTGGCCATACATATTACTGATAACCTGGGATATATTTGTTTACAGTGGCAGTTAACACTCACGATCTTCCTTTTTGCAATAAAATTCTGATATTTTCCAATTCAGTTTTACATTTCATCAAAAACAGAACTCTGCAAAGATTATCATCCAAAAAGTCCACAATGTCATGGTTTCATGATAGTCTTAAAAAAGTATTGTGTCCCTTCGTTTTCTTTTCAAATTGTTGAGGATACAGTGATGTGAAACATGGCAAACTCAGGTATCAGCAGCAGAAATGAGCACTGGATTCGACAGCTGATCGTACCAATCAGTCACTGATGACATCATACACTCAGCTAATTGAACACAGCAGCACTGCAGTTGTCTGCCTGCATCGGCTCAGTTCTCACATCGTTTACTTAACAGTATTCAGAATCCTTGGGGTCACACACTCACATGCTGCTGTTCTGCAACCCAGAGCTCTGAGCTCTGAGCTTTGAGCTCTCTCTCTCTCTCTCTCTCTCTCTCTCTCTCTCTCTCTTCCACACACACACACACAGACACACAAGCACAACAGTAGCATCTGTGAAGTCCCTGTTGTTTGGTGACAGGCCTTCTGCTTTCTGCTGCTGGTGGCAATATGGTTTCTGAAAAACAATAATAACATGACATAACAATGATGTTCATAAAGCATACAGCTAATGTTTTATGGGAGATATATGCTTATATGCCCCCCAGTTTATGTGTTTGAATCAATATATTGAAGAAGCATTCTGCAAACAGTTCACTGCCAGCACATATTTGCTACACTATCTGATCCCGGCGACTACAGTACTAAAGCATTTTCTGTGGCACCTCAAGGGACTTGGTTAAGGTTATGGATGCCAGTAGTAAATAATCTCATTTTGTGTGTGTGTATGTGTGTGTGTGTGTGTGTGTGTGTGTGTGTGTGTGTGTGTGTGAGACACAGTCTAAAAGGGTAACCTACAAGCCTACATAGAAGCAGCTACTGGATGAACAGCACACATCAGGCAGTAGGATCTGCATACTGTATCTGCTGGAAGACAAAAGAACAGCTGCACAGCTCGAGTGTCAGGAATAGTCTCCCATAACACAGTTAGCTCATATCGCTAACCACGACCCTGCCAGATGTTCAAACAAGGCAATTCCAGCTAGCTCCCTGCTACAACTGATAAAACCAGCATCATATTTAAAGGCTGTGCTATGCAGTGCACACTAGGAGGAGGTGGTAACAAAAATGTAAGGATAAAGTAATACAGTATTTGTATTCATTCATTCGAAAGTGTGGTTAACACTCTAAAAGCCTGCTAATGTTGGACTGAGTCTGGATAGTGCATGGATAGTGAGCAGCCAATACCAAAAACCCCATAACAATTCTATTATGTGATCAATCTGTGAAAAATCACAATTAATAAGCATCCTGGGAAATTCACCTAAAACACATTTCCAAGATATACCCAAAGTAAACGCCTAAGTTCTATGCCCATTTTAACAAGCAGGACTTTTCAGAGGAATGTGTAAAACTTTTGAGAGCCCTCCTCCCCACCAGACCCAGATGAACTGTCCCCCTTCACTGTGGAAGACGTGAGGCGTCAGCTCAGCAGGTGCAAGCTGAGCAAGGTCCCGGGGTCCTGACGGCATATTAGCAAGGGTGCTGAAGAACTGTGCTCAAGAGCTTTTACCCATCTTTCATTCACTCATCAGCGAAGCCTACCTCAATGCCACCATACCCTCCATCTGGAAAATGATTACCATAATCCCTGTCCCCAAGAAGCCACGGCCCACTGAACTCAACCAGTACTGACCTGTTGCCCTAACATCCATAATTAGGAAATGCCTGGAGAAGTTGCTGCTGAACACCCTCCTGCCAGCTGACAACCCACAACTGGACCCCCTCCAATTCGCCTACAAGGCTAAGAGGGGAAATGAGGATGCTGCATGCCTGCCTGCTTCACCTCCTCCTGCAGCACCTGGATTCCCCAGGCCACTTCGCCCGGATATTCTTCGTGGACTTCAGCTCTGCTTTTAACTGCATCCAGAGGCACCTGATGATCCAGAAGCTGCACCACCTCAACATCCCCACCCGACTGATTCACCTCATCCACAACTTCCTCACCAACAGGCAACAAGTAGTACAGCTGGGCTCAACCACATCTCCTCCCCTCACCATCAACACCAGAGCATCGCAGGGCTGCATGTTAAATCCTTTCCTGTACACACTCTACACAAATGACAGCATCCGACACAGCCATTCTCGCCCTCCTACTCAATGTCAACAAAACAAAAGAGCTGATAGTCAGTCCCCCTTCACCACAGCACCCCTTATCCACTGCGAGGGTCCTAAGGACAGAGGGATGTCATATGTTGTAAAGCCCTGTGAGGCAAATTGTGATTTGTGATATTGGGCTTTATAAATAAAATTGATTGATTGATTGATTGATTGTCATCCCTAACCAAACAGTTGAAACAGTGGATAGTTTTAAATACCTCAGAGTAACATTAGACAACACACTCACCTTTGATCAGCACATCATGGACATTCAGAAAAGAAGCCACCAAAGACTGTCAATCATCTGCAAACTCAAAAGTCTTCATATTGCTCCACATCTACTACTGCTACTTTACCAAAGCATCATTCAGCGAATTCTGTTGTACTGTTCCACCTGCTTTTTCAACATACTCTCTGTCAAGAACTGGACCAAGCTTTCCAAAGTAACCAACACTGCTGCAAACATAATAGGTCTCCCCACACCCAACCTCACTGAACTCAACAACAGGGCCATTACACGCATCTCAATTGCAATAGCACAGGGCTCCACACACCCACTCAACACACCCACCCATTGAACATTTAGCCCCACTGCCCTCAGGGCGAAGGTACAGGACTCTGAGGTGCAGGAGGGCCCACTTTGGAAGAAGGCTGATCCCCTCAGTTATCACGGCCCTTAACAGCAGACCCCGTTAAAGTGTAATAACTGTTTGTGTGTCGTAGTGTTGTTCTTGCTGTGTCTATTTACTGTTCAGTTTTATTGTTGGGTTGTCGGGATGTCGTACTCATCACTGTTGTTGCTGTTGTTTTTATGGTTGTTGTGTCAAACAAGTACATTGCTGTGAGAAAGAATTTCCCTTTGGGGACAATAAAAGTCAAATTCTAATTCTAAAACTGGAAGCTGTTTGTGTTCCAATTTTAGTACATGTACATGCATGGTCTCATTTAATATTTACCTTAAGGCAGGGGTACTCAAATACACACACACATGCATGCAACATTTTTCAGTTCATTTTTTTTTTCATTCCATCACAAAGCTGTTTAATCAGATCACCAGCCAGTATTTCAGTATGTCTGGTTGTTGTGAATTCTTGTGCTTACCCAAGACCCACGCAACTCTGAGTGAGCACTCTGTTGCTTTTTGTTGTTGTGTCTGTGATGGAAAATTCTGGTATTTGACCATATTTAACCTATAGTGTGTTCTGCATGTTTTGTATAAGGTAACTTGCTATGATGTATGATGTGTGTTGCTCATTTAACCCCTACTGTGACAGCAGTGAGAGACACCAAGGTTATGAGCCAGGGAGGCTCAGACACCAAGATTACGAGCCAGGGAAGCTCAGACACCAAGTGTCCTTGTTAGTCTCAAGAGATGTTGTGTCTTAGGAATGTCAAACCAACCTGGGCTACTGCAGGCGCCACATATTTTGACTATTGATGTGCATGTGTTATGGGAACTATAAAGATAGCAGGGCTAGAGGACATCTAGCCACTCACTCACTGACTGACTGTTCATGCGGTTGTATGTGTGTGACTCCATTCATGAATGCTTATTAAAAACTCAAGAAAGACAGCCGACGTGTGAAGACTTTTTTTTTAAACTGTTTATTAAATAATTGTTTTGCCAACACAAAATTGCCGACCACGAAGGGACCTCATCTGTGAGCGGATTCTGGAATTCTGGACTGAAGGTGTGAAGACTGTGTGCACAGCAAGAGCCGAGGCTCTTACACCTCAAACTCCCCTACAAAGGAAGGTTGAGAGGAGGGCCTGATGTCTGAAAACAGGGATTCCCTTCACCGTTGGGGTCCAACGAGCATGGTGGTTGTCAACACCTCGCTGTCTTTTCTGGTGAGTTTTGAGGACTGCGCAGGAAAAGTCTTTTCCAACTATTGAGATAGGTTGGCAGATGTACTATGCACTGTTTCTGGGAAGCTGAGTGCAGGAAAAGTGGTGAGCTCGGTTTAGGTCAGGGACCTAAAGTAGTGTAGGTTAGGAACCTAACACGACACCTGATTATTTCAGCCGTTAAAGGTGGAAGAAAAGGTGGTGAGAAGCTATCTGGGTTAGAGGAGAAGTAGAGACACTTCACAGTGGAACAGGCAGAGTGAGTGAAGCGCGTTTTTTTTCCTGTATTTCCTTTTTACAAATTGTGCGTGTTTTCGGGTAAAGGTAAAAAAATTTCCTTTAAAGAAATAAGTTTGTGCATTTTTTGAGATTGATTTTTGCTTCCACAAATTTGATTTATTTTTAATACTACTAAGAAAACTGAGAGTTTGATTAAAAAGGGATCTGGACAGAGCAAAACCTCAAAGGGGAAAACTGAGCCT